ACTGGTCTTCATGTCTGTTTTTGTGCCAGTACCATGCTTTTTTATTGTTATTGCTTGTAATATAGTTTGAAGTCAGGTATTGTGATACCTCCTGCATTGTTCTTTTGACTGAGTATTGCCTTGGCTATTCGTGGCCTCTTGTGTTTCCATATAAATTCACAGTAGATTTTCAATCTCTTTAATGAATGTCATGGAATTTTGATGGGAATTGCATTAAACATGTAGATTACTTTTGGGAGTATCGACATTTTTACTATGTTGATTCTACCAATCCATGAGCATGGGAGATCTCTCCACTTCTATTAGTCTTCCTCAATCTCTTTCTTCAGAAGTGTATAGTTTCCTTGTAGAGGTCTTTCACATCTTTTGTTAGGTTTACACCTAGGTATTTGATTTTTTTTGAGGCTATTGTAAATGGAATTGTTTTCATACATTCTTTTTCAGTTTGCTCATTGTTAGTATATAGAAATGCTAATGATTTTTCTATGTTGTCTTGCTCACCTCTTTGAGCTCTAATCCTTTCCCTGTTTTCTACTCACTGTACTGTTAATTCTTTGAGGATTTAAAACATTTTTTCTGATGTCATCCTTTTTTTGTAGTTGTTTTTGTCATCTTCAGAGAAAATGCTGATCAGAGAAATCTAGGTTTGGTCTGTCCTTTATAGCACTGTTCCTCAGAGAATAGTTTACAGACAAGTACCAATCGACCGACCATCTGTTACCCGTCTGCTATGATATAGGTACAGAAATTGGGAATAAACATTTAGAAGCTGTTATTGCAATTTGACATTGCTGGAAAATCATAGCATTTGATTTTGTGCTTTCTGCTCAAAATAATCTTTATGCCAAAGTGGCATATTTGGGTGGTGTATTCTGATTCCCTTCAACATATATCAGTCATACCTTGTACTATTAGACCTATGATCTATTTTGTTTGTCTGGTATCTTGGTTTTAGGCAATTTTCTTAATTACCTAAATAATACATATTTTTTAATTCCGATGGAAGAAAGGGAGGAGCAGTTAAATTCATATATAATTGTACCACTTTCACAATTTGGAGTAAACCTCCCATGATTTCTCTATATATAGTACAGAAGCCCTCCCCATACTCTTCCGTACAAGGGTTTCTTCTCCATTTCAGTTCATTCCTTCAGAATGGAGACAACTGGGGGAATTCAGAGCATGCTTTTTGAAGATTCATGACAGCCCTATGAACACTCCAAATGGGAAGCCAAAGAGAAAAGGAATAAAAGAAGACTTACTCTTTTTAGAATTATTACATCACCAAATAATGTTTATCAAAGAATTGAATCATCAATTTTGTTCAAAAGGTTCAAGGTTATTATATTAGAATTGTGTGTTATGACCATATATATATATTCAACATCTGTGATGAATAAAATTTGCATAAATAACATTATTTTTGGTTTGTATGTTTGTATCTCATGAAATTGAAAATTCATAGGTTGCTTCTTTTACTTTAATATCAGTTATAAATAACTGATCAGATAGCTTTAATAATAAAAAAGTGCTTTCATAGGGATGACTTCTTTCAGAATAATCCTTCATAGAACAGGCCTGCATATTTCAAAAGTTACACAGGCAATTTTATTTGGTGCTGCTGGTTATGAACCATTGAATTAAAAATATATATAATGGCCAAAACATTCCATTTATAATAGCAACTAAAATAGAAAATGTCAGGGCTGGTAGCTCAGTGGTAGAATGCTTGCCTAGCATATATAAGGCCCTGAGTTTATATATATATAAAACCTAGGGGGAAAAAAACCTCATCAATATTTGGAACCAATGTAAAGAGAACCTTAAAACTCTAACTGAAATATATGAAAAGAAATGGAGAGATATATCATGTTCATGGGTGAAAGCATTAGAAAAAAATCTTCATTCCTAGGAGTTAATATAATTCTATCTGATCCAAAATATAAAAATATTGAGTCTAACAAAATAATTTTAATATTTAACTGGGAGAAAAACTCATAAGTAAAGGATTAGGAAATGAGATTTATTTTGCCAAATACTATAACATATGATTACAGTATTTAAAATGATATGATGCTATAAAAGAATGGTGGAGGGGGTGAATTCAACTATGACATATTGTAAGAACTTTTGTAAATGTCACAATGTATCCCCAGCACAACAATAATAAAAAATAAAATGATAGGATGTTAGATGCAAGAATAGACAAGTCAGTGAAAGTGAACAGAAACTTAAAATTACCCTGTATATATATGTGCACGTGAAGAGATTGTCATCTCAAGTAGTAGTATTTCAGATAGGACCAGAAAGAAATAGATTTGTCATTGCTGGCAATTGAAGTATTGGTAGTAAGTACTTTACAGTTATTTACCAGACTGGTTCTCTCCTTAGGCTTTGGCTTCTCACTGCTTTGCCACTTCCCCACCCCCAGCCCCATCTCCTTTTTTCCCTCTTCCTGTCTAAGACCCTCCAAAAAAAAATCTTCCTTTACCCTCAGGTCAGCTCCCGGATTCTTACTGCTTTCTTATGCAATCACCTTGGCTCTCTCCTTTGCCCAACTCCTTGTTCATCTAAGTTGAACAGTGTTTACCCTCACATTTCCCAATTAAAAAGAAAATACCTAAACAAAAAGAATTCCTTCACTATCAGATGTTTTTTAGTCCACATAGATGAACTAACCTGCTTAAAAACTATAGCCAGGTTTTAAAACAGCATGTTTTCTCTCCACAATAGAAAGAAATGAAAACTGTTCAGCTTCTGTAGTAATCATAGAAATGTAAGTTAAAACAAATCATGAGTGACTCCCCCCACCCCATGCACACACATCTGATTGGCAAAGATGGAAAAGAATTGTCACTCTTGGGGGGGGTAAAGTAGAGCAAAGGACACAATCATGCTCAGTTGTAACAATATGAATTGTTAAAATGTTTCTGGCAGTATGCATATCAAAAGTATTACTGTGTATGCCTTTGACCTCACACCTCCTACTTGTAGAAATTTTACAGTAATACTCATGTTCAGAGTTGTTCACAAAGATACATAATCATACTCATCCAGGATTGATTTCTGATGAGGGAACATGGGTGCTGCTGTCATAAACATTTTTGAGAAGAATCCTATGTAGCATTGGAAAAGGTCCATTAAGTGTGAAATGGAAACTAGATGCAATTTGTAAAGTCTTATATAAATGTGAACATTTTCATTTGCATAAAACTACACTAAGATCCAAATAATATAATCAACTCTTCATTAAATGTCTACTATGTGTTCAGTCTTCTGGGGTATTTGGTGGGGGCATGTTAAAAGTATAAGCTCTACTTTTTCTTTAGGACATTACACTCTTGTTGAATAGTTATAGGGCTTGAAGATGTGCATTTGCTCCTGGCCCACCATTAGGTGCAGCTGTACTCTATGGGAAAAGCACTGGACAGAGCTAGACAGAGATTTGAGTCCTGTCCCTGTCACGTCTTTGTCCAATAACTTAGACAAATTATTTGAGAATTAGAATGATGCTGGACTGGAGATGGAGCTCAGTGTTAGAGTGCTTACCTAGCATGCTTGAGGTCCTATATTCCATCCTCAACACCACAAGAAAAAAATAAGAATTAGAATGATGCTGTCCTCATGAGGTAGTTGTAGTTGTAAGTATGAACAAAGGGAGCTATAACATGGAGTGCTTCCTATGAGACCTGACGAATACTAAGTATGTTAGTTCCTTTACTTTCCCTTCTAGAAGTTTCTAATTCCTCAGTATATTACCTGTAGCAGGTATATTGAAGACTGAGCTTAAAGAATCATGAAATGTTAGCTATTAATATTTGAATGATTTCATTAATATAAGTAATGATCTTGCATATATTTTTATATACATGTGTTCATTGTGTGTTTATATTACATAAATGCTAAAAATTATGTTACAGGCTAGGTTGTTAAAATATGAAAACAAAAGATGACCTTATTGTGACTGGTAATCATTAAGGGAGCTTCCTGGGAAGATGGAAATAGAATGGAAACTTGAAGGAAGGCAGATGGTATATGAAGAGCAGTATATGCAGAAGCATGTAGCAAAAAAAAGAGAAACGAAAATGGTATGTTCAGGAAGTGGTAATAAGACCAGTCCACCTAAAGAGCGTGATTTTCTAGAAGTGTCATTAGGATAGGTAGAAGAGGCAAGACTACAAGAAATCTTACCTATCTGGTGAGAAATAGAGAGCTAATGTAAGTTTAGGTCCAAATATTAACACTGTGTGACCAATACATCAATGTATTAGAATATATTTGCAGCAATAATGGAAGATAAGCAAAAGTAACTTATAAATCAGCTTGTTATTTTTTCATTTCACAGCATATAATTTGAATTTCCCATCTAGTGGTGATAACTACAGCAAAATGCTTTAAAGTCCTTGTATTCTTTTTTTTTTTTTTGTACAGTACTGGGGTTTGAACCCAGGGTCTCATGCATGCCAGGCAAGCACTCTTGCTGCCATGCCTCCAGCCCTCCTTGTAATCTTAAAATACTACGTTATGTGACTAAATACAATTTTGGAATTTGACTCCAAAATATGCCCACAACCTCCAGCATTGTTCCTTTCCCAGATACCTTATTTCAATAACCTAAAGAAAGTTTATAGTTACTATTCTGTACCTCGTGGTGTTTGATACTCTCATTGGCCTATTCTTCCTGAGGGTTTCTTTTCTTGTAGTTTTTTGTTTATTTGTTTGGTTGGTTTTTGGTGTACTGGGGTTTGAACTCAGGGCCTCATACTTGCTAGACAGGCGCTCTATCACCTGAGCTATGCCCCCAGTTCTTCCTGTAGATTTTCAATGGTAAGATGGTTAAGATGTCCTATGTAATTTATGTCTGCTTGTCATTGAAAAGGGGTTTAAATAACTTACAACCATTAACAGTCAGTCACCTAATAACTTAGTGATGATATATTCATTTTCAATGTCATCATCTTGGAATTTCCTCTTATATTCTTTTTCACATTTCTCTGCAGTATGGATGGAGCGGATCTGTGTTTTGAAATCGTAAAGCGAGCTGATGCTGGTTTTGTATACAGTGAAGCTGTAGCCAGGTATGTAATCCCCAGAATTAGAATTGTGAATTAGAATCAAAGAACTAGAATTCTCTGAATCTAATCCCCAGAAGTAAAGTGGAAGTAAAAGAAAGAAGTGACAAGAAATCCCATGAAGTATTCTGCTCTTCTTTCTGATCCTGAGCACAGTGCTGCTGTTTACTGCAAGGAGCATAGCTATTTCAGTGTACATAGTGGAACCAGATAGTGACTAGAAATGTAAAATGCCAAGCAATGAGTGTATCTACTAACATGAACTCACATTTTCACACCAGTACTTCTATCTTTCCCATTTCTGATGTCTTATACAAAGAGGGACTTGATAGGTCAGGAAGCATGTAGAATTAAACTTGGGGTTTTTGTTTGATGTTTGGTTTTTGACAGATATACCATTAGTTCTTCATTTTGCTTTTTAGTTACATTAAATTATTATGTGACCAGTTAGTCTAAAGAAAAGCACAGAACAGTAATAGAAACAACAATAAAAGTACCATTTTTCTGCTGAATGAATTTGCTTCAGGCCAGTGTGTGGTCTCCCAACCAAAGGGTAGCCATTATTCTAAGTAGAAGTGTTGTTACAAAGACCTAATGACTCAAAAAAAAAAAAAGAAGAAGAAGTAAATATGAAAAATCTTAAGAGCCATGCACGTAGTGAGCCTCTGGCTTGTATGTTTAGAGCAATGCAGCTTTCTGCCTTGCTTCCATTCAATCATATCATAATTATACTCCAGTGGGTTTCCTTTTTAATACATGGCATACAGCATCCCTCCTCAGTCACCAGCCATAATATGTTGAAGGGTTCAAACCCACAAACCTATTAGGATTTATTAAAACTTTTTATCATCTAAGAAGCAATTACATTAAATGATTACAACTTCCTCCCTCCAATCATTCCTTTTATAGCTACAGCATCATAGAAAAACATAGCTAGAAACAACTTAGAGACTATCTCAATACTACTTTGAGCCCCACATGGCTTGACTATCTTCAGATTCTTTTTCCTGACTTCTCCTTACCAAGGAGTCTCAGGGATGGGGTTTACCATGGGTATGGCACAAAATAAAGAATATGCTCAATGTAGAGTAACTGCTTTTTTGTACTACTGGGGCTGAAGAGAAGAAGCTAGTGGAAGTTTATGTACGTTAACCGTAATTACTACTTTATATTCCTGAAATATGGCAGAACTGAAGTTAAATACCCCTTTTTCTTTTGTGTCATGCTCGCTAAAGCACATTCTAGATTTTTTAAGCCCCAATTTTCTATTGTTGAGTTTTTATCACAGCTTTTTAAATTTATGTTATTTCTTGTGCTTCAAAAGTAAAAAGGATTCTCTAATAACAAAAATAGTTAATGCTATCTTGATTTTTCTTGTGGCATCGTTCTAAACCACTGTATCCAACTTAATGCAGCTCAGACTTTTGTATATCATTGTATTTATTTTTACAGAATTCGAGACAACTTGCTTTTCATACTTGTCCATATTGCCATTTTTCAAGGGCAGCATAAAATAAGGAAAACAAAAAGTTTAGAATTTTTATTCTTTTAAAATATTTTCCTCAATGGAGGAATTTTTTTCCTTTTGGAAGCACCATAACACTGGCATATATGCTGGAAGAGCTGATGTTAAACCAGTGTTACCTTCACTCTGTTCTCCAGTCACCGTTTCTTAACTTTTCTTAGCCATCCCTTAACTTAGAGCCTGCCTCTGCCTTTGTGCTGGGTATAGAGTTAGGAGGGATGGTAGCATGTAGAGGTGATATCATCCAGTGACATGACTTCTGATCTTCCCCAATTCTGAAATGTGTAGGAAAGGTATGTGTTTATACATCAAGCCTGTTGATTTTTAAATCCACTTGTATTTGCTGTTAAAAAATGATGATTTTGTGAAAAGAACTCTCCAGAATGCAGACTTGGAACCAAAAAAGTGACATTGCCCGAGAGAGATTTGGACACAATTTATTAAAGACTCTTCCTCCTAACAATGAAAAAGGCATGGGGAGGGCTCACATAGGATTATCAGGTGTGTTCTCTGTTGCAGAAGATCAATGACTACATAACAAGAGCACATAGATTTTTCCTTTAGGATATAGTATTTGGCCAGATGACTTCTAACTTTCCTTTCTCCTTTCTGCTTCTCTGGTTCATTGTTAGGAAATTCAGCTTATATCAGTATTCTAGTGAGACCAACTGCAAGAAGACTTGGAGACACCAAGTAATCAAATTGATAATGTTGTTTTTCTCCAACTGGCTGAGTTTCAAGAGGAGCAGCAAAGCATGGCATAAAATAAAAAATGTGTTCAAAGCTTAGTATAGCCCAATTAGTGATTACCCCTCTCCTTTCAGGGGTAATGAGTTGTAGAGTGAGCTAACATACAAATGAGATTATCAAATCAAACTCTTACAAATCTGTGAGATCTCTACCTAATACCAAGCTTTACTAAATAATTTCAAGGATACAGGCAATCAAAAGGCTCAGCTGAAGCAGAGAGAGGCCTGAGCTATCAAGTGCAGCTCCCTACATTATTTCTTCCCACATCAGCAATGCACCTCTGGCCCAGAATCAGTTCTCTACCTGAGGCTTGTGGGATTACATACACACATGCGCAGACACACACACACACACACACACACACACACACACACACACACACGAGAGCATTTCAAACATGAAACATCTCCATTTTATACTCAAGAGAATTGGATAGCTTGCAGCGTCCAGGAAACCATCAATGCCTCAAAGATACCACGTTCTATTTACCATAATCTTCAACACATTCTATTAAGGTCATTTCAGAGATAAGGTCTCTTCTACTCAGCAAATGGCATTTCAACTTTTTTACCCGGAGTTGACAAGGAGAATAGGCTGAGTCACGTCTCTTCTTTTCTTTCACGACCTCCACCCCCAAAATGCCTCCTTCCAGAGGAAATAAATAAATGCATTGCTGGCCAGCTCTTTCCTGATCCTTAAGGAAGATGGAGACAAACTTATATATGTGTTGCTGACTCTCTGAAAGCATGGGCTTTCATGCATCATGAAATAAAGCTTTTTGGTTAAAAGTTTAGTCAGCAACTCTCTAGAATGTGCAGACAGATTTTGGATCTTATTTTACTCTGCTTGCAGAATAAATGTGTGATATGCACAATTTCCAAGGTTCGTGACTAGGAGGGTGGAGAAAGATCAGATCTGTTATAATTTGTGGAGAAAAACTAACTCACCTGTCTCCTCACATACCACAGAGATTCTGCCAAGTATGTATACTTGGGTCAAATAATGGAGTGCTCTGATATTCATATTTTAAAATACTCTTCTTTGACTTTTGTTTTGTTGTCTCTTAGCCATTTTGGGGTGGGGGGGTGCTCATAGGTTCTCCAAAGCCTGGCTTAAACCGCTAAAGGGCCACGACAATAAGTTAAGTGCCCCAACTTAAACAAAACTTTATTATAGGCTGCAGTGTCCTAGACAAACCCCTTATGTGTGCATTTGCAAAGTAAAAAAAATTGAACATCATAACCTTAGTTCTTAGACTGCATGAGCTCGCTTAGAGCCCAGTTGTGAGGAGACAATGGTAAGTATGGACAAAGTCTGGGTTTGGTTTGGATTTGGGGGAATTTTTCTCTCTTGCCTTTCATCTTTTTAAATAGAACATTCTACTCCATTGTAATATACAAAATAATGCATATGCTTATTTGAGGGGCATTCATATGAGCTTGGTTAAATAATAGCATGCCAAAGAAAGACCTTGATGGATGGAAATGTCTTTTAATTATAAAGCAGTAGTACAGAGGTTTTTGTTTTTGTCTTAAGTCATAAATACAGCTACAAGGTCATTTGTGAGTACTATTATTAAGTATTTAGTTTTTGTTTTAGTGTCCAAAATATCAGATCTGAAAACAAAACAAAATTTAATAAATACTATATAATAAAAATGTTGAGAATTGCATTTCTCAATTGTGGCTGGCTGGGAAGGGAAGGGGGAAAAGTGATAAGGGCAAGAAAAGAGAAAGAAATGGAAGAAGTAAAATGAAGAGAAAGAGAAGATGATGAAGTAGACACTGGGAGGAAGATAGAAAGGATTTAGACATAGGGGGAGGAAGTTCTACAGTACTGAATGGAGTACAGGTGCTCACTGACTTGCCATTTGTCTTCATGCTGGTGTAAAAGCAATAGTATTCAGTAGAAACTGCACTTTATCTTTTTTATTTTGATCTTTTCCTGGGCTAGTATTATACATTGTGATACTGTCTCACATTCCCCATCTGTAGGCTAATAAGTGTTCTGAGCACATTTAAGGCAGGCTAGGCTAAGCTATGAGGTTCAATAGGTTAGGTGCATATTTTGACTTATAATAAGATGGATTTAGCTACATATAACCATATCATGAACTGAGGAACATTTGTACTCTTGTCACATCCTGTTGCTACTTGACCCTGTTACCACTTCTTAATGACTTTTAAAAAATGCTTGCCCCTCCTTTGTTCTTCATATGTATCCGGTGAAGGAGCCTCTGCAGCTGGCTTTGTGTTAGATGTCAGACTTCCTAGGACATAGGCCTAGAACTAACTCTGCTTTCTCTAAGGATGTCCCCAACTAAAACCAAATTAGGCTCCAAAGAGAAAATGTATACATAAGGAGGTTCTTCTATAGTTTATCCTCAGAGCTGAATGGAAACAAGCAGAGAGCCACTCTGCTGGCAGATGACAGCCTCCACCCCTTTAGTGAGAATTATTCGGTTAACTCTGAGCACTGTTTCCAGAATAGCAATCCATTTTAGCTAAATAGAATTAACTAAGATATTAGAGGATTTTTCCATATGGTAAGCTTGAATTATTAGTCTACAGAACAACTGTGCCTATGAACTATGGGAATTCTTTTGACTTAGCTGGAAAAATGTAGACTATTCTATTTCTTTAAGAAGCTCATAAATTTCTAAGTGTCAACTTTTTCATTAAGCTTCACTTTGTGTGCTCAAATGAAAGATGTCTATAGGTAGCTAATATGAAGATGGGAGTTATACATTGAGTATTAAAGTTTTAATAAATAAAATTTTTTACAGTTTTAGATTTCTTTTGTTTTTACAGCCATTATATGAGACAGATACTAGAAGCTCTGCGCTACTGTCATGATAATAACATAATTCACAGGGACGTGAAGGTAAGTGACTCTTATCACTAACTTTAATATTTATGAAAGAAACCGACATAATGATATTAATCAGAATTTTTAAACATTCTTATAGAGAGCATCTTAAACTTAATTTACATGCAAGTAACAGTTTATTAAACTGCTTTATGTTTGGGAAGTCATTATATTAATTTTTAATAAATACACTTTATAATTTCAGTTTCCTTATTTGTACTAAAGGTAACATGCAATGTAAAATTTTATTATTCCTCTTTTGCCATCGTGTGTGAGAGAGAGAAGAAAATGAAAAACAATAAGAAAAACTAAACTGTATCCTATGCTGAGTTAATTAAGGGGAAATTAAAATTTGGTTTGGATAGTAAAGATGAATCATACACTTCTCTTTTCATACTGTGGTAGTGTGGACTAGCCAGCATTGCTTTCTTTGCAGACTGTTTTAAGCATAGTATGAAATCATGATTATAGCTATATACAGTTTATACCATAGAATGTCATTCTGATCATTATTCAGAAAACTCTCAGTCCCTGGCTCTTTACCAGTGTCAAGAGCCAGGCCGGAAAGGAAAGCAGTGGGCCTTCCTCCTGATCCCCAACCCCTTCCAAGGCCTAGAACCACTAGGGAGCCCCTGAAGTCTCTCTGGCCTTTGGCAATACTTTTCACACTCAGATATTCTGTCCCTGGCCTCTCTAGCTCCCAGCATCCATAGATGTGGTGTTCCTTCCTTCAAGGCATATTATTAAAGTCCTGGCTTTGCAATGTATTTTAAATGGTAAAAAAAAAAAAAAATAGGTAGAGTTTAGTTAAAATTTCTACAACTGAGAAATTTTAACAGAAAGTCTTGGAGTTAAAATCCGATGGAAAGTATGAGCAATTCCAAAACCATCTAGTAGAGTGTTATAATGACAAATGAAAATCATTGGAGAAATGAACAAAATACACATTAGTGTAAAAATAGTTGCATAATATCTTGTTCAGTCTTTTCAAATGTGACAATAGAAAATTGATACTATCATGAAAACTCAACACTGAACAACCCAATGGATGCATAACACTTTTATAAAAAAAAATTCTTCAGCTATCCAAAGAAAATAAGAATTGTAGAAAGATAAAAGGGAAAAATTGTCAAATATAAGGAGAAAAATAGAGGGGATGAACCAATTCAGTTTATAATAGATATATACCTGGAAATGTCACAGTGAAACACCTGTATAGCTATCTTAAACAAACAAAAAAGAAAAATTGTCAAATATAATAGCATTCTGTGTGATTCCCTTGCATTTAACAAATATAAGAAAGTAAATATACTCAGAGTAAAATATAAGAAAAATGATAATTTGAAATTTTTAAATGTGTTAAACACATTTTCAGTTTATATAATAGCATTGTGTTAAAAGCTGTTTTGCTTGAGGCAATTTTATTTTGCATGAATTCTGTTCTTGAAAGATAATTGTATCAATATCATATAATAAATTGTGATTGACATTGTACTCCACTGAAATACTTTCAATAAGATAGTCCACTTTTGATTAGCCCTGGTATTTGATATAATGACAACCCAAACCAAATAAAATCCAAAAATAGTTATTGTTGACTATACCTCCTAATTCACTTTCTAATTCATGTAGTCAATAAATATTTAAGTCCCTACTTCATGCAGAATACTGTGCTTGAACCTCTAAAAGTATTATGGTCTGAGCAGGGAGACTACATAGTATATCTGTTATCTACTACTTCAGATCAACACACACCAAAACTTAGTAACTTCAAACAACAACTACTATGATTTGCTCACTTCTGTTACCCAGACTGTTGGCTGAGGCAGCATGGGTAGTTTCCACCTAGACTCCACTCAGTCTTCTGGCATCTCAGTTGAGAGGACTGGAACTGTGGGGAGCTGTCTAGGCCCTCTTCATCATCTCTCACTCAGGACTTCTCGCTCTTTCCACATGGCCCCATGTCCAGCAGGACGGTGGCTCAGGACTCCAACAAAACAGCAGAAATGGAAGTTGCCAGGCCTGGGCCTCTTGAAGCCTCGGGCCAGAACTACTGCTATGTCACATCTTCTGCATTTGATTTGTCTTGTCAGTTATGAAAAGATCATAAGGCTAACCTAGGCTCAAGAGGAAGAAAAATAGATTCATCTTTTGATTGGAAGAGTGGCAAATGTACACAGGATGGAAGAACTTGTTGGTGACCATCTTTATAGCCAAGCAAACAAATAATTACTGCGCAAGGCAAAGGGTGGTAAATATTATTGAAAGACAGAGTCAGAGAGATTTCATGGAAGAGATCATGTCAGAGCCTGGTCTTGAATCATGGGTAGTTATATGAGGACAAGTTGGCATTTCACAGTGAAGGAACAGTGTGCACAAAAACCCCAAAGAAGTTTTGTATTAGATTATTAGTAGAAGTAATAGTTTATTATTTTTACAGTACATGCCATGTAATTTTGAAGAGGCACCCAGAAACTGGCTGAAGAAGGGAAGAGAGAAGTAATTCTCAAACTACAAATTAGTAAGAAGAAACCACCAGAAAAAGTAGTTGGCAGGGAGACTCAACAGAGGGCACACATTAATGTTAATATTCTTCATACTTTCAGTACCTGAAATCTATACATTTTGCATGGGTAAATGGAGTACTCACATTTAGTTAATTGGCAATGTTAAATTTGGGTGTATTTTTAAAAGATATTTATCCAAAAGATATTTATTGAGTGCCTAGTGTGGTGTGGGCACTGACCTAGGAATTGGAACTACATCACTGAACAAAACAGACAAAATCATGGCCCTTGTGAAGCTGACATTGTAGTGCAGGGAGACAGACAATGTCAATAAGCAGAAAGAAATAAACGGTGATAGGTTGGAAGGTGAAAGGGGGATAGGAACATGACTCAGGTAGTAGAGTGCCTGCCTAGCAAGTGCAAGGCCCTGAGTTCAAACCCCAGTACCCCCAGAAAAAGAAAAAAGAAAAGGGGTCGGGGGGGGGGAAGAAGGGAAAGGAATGGCAGGAACAAGAATAGTGGTCCAAGACTAGGGAGTGCAAGAGAAGAAACTGCAGTTTTAAATAGAGTGGTCAAAACGGGCCACATTGAGGAGATGACATGACATCTGAGCAAGAACTTATAAGAGGAGTCGGCTGAGCTGGTATCTAAGGGAAGAGTGTTTCTAGGTTAAAGGATAAAACAGCCAGTGCAAAGGTGCTGAATCAGGAACACAAGTGGCCAGAACAGCAAGGAAGCTTGTATGACTGAGGCCAAATGAGCAAAAGGGACAGTTAAATAGACAGGAGATAGTTGTGCCTGGCTCTGACCAGAGTGCTAGCATTACATTTGGTTTAAAAAGAAAAATGCAGTTAGATTCCAGATATGTTTGGAAGGTTGTGTCAACAAGATTTCCTAATATAGCTTCAGTAACTCAAGTAAGCTTAGTTTGATTCAGGTATTTGTTATAGGGGTATTCCTTCATGGTGACCATTGTAAAGTCTTCAGAAAAGTGCATTTCACGTAACTAGCAGTTTAAAATTTCACTTGGTTTGTTTTGTTAATTTTTGCCATTAAAGCCACCTATCAGGTTTTTTTGCTTTTAGAAATACATTCATTCAGTGACTTGTCAGTCTGTAGATTTAATTTGTATGTAGGTTTTGGTTTCTGTAGTTGAGGTTTTTGTCTGAGCTTGCGTCCCTTAAATTTAGTAAAGAAAATAAACAAGCAGAGCAATACTTCATTTCTCTTAGAAAAATTCAAATTAATTATCTGTCTCATCTAGCCAAGAATGTGTTCATATTCCTTCCCTGCCTGCCCCTTCCCCCTCTCTTTCCTGATCCAAAAGTAGTAGACTTCCCAAAGGTCCCACTGTTATATTAAGTAATAGTATTTTTTTTCTCCACTTGATGGGCATTTCCTTTTGAAATCATCATAGTTTAGTCTAAAGAGGATTGTTGGTTATATTTGAGTATTTGATGACCTGTAGTAGAAACTGCTTGCATTGGAAAGCCAGTCTCACATGAAATTGCAGGAAAAGTAGTTCTATAATTGTTTGAAATTCAGAGATATGTGTCATCATAATAAAGGGCCTACGAACAGCCACACTAGTGGCCTTGGAGGCCAGACACTTTGGTGTGGGAGGCTGTCCTGGGTATTGTAGCATGCTTAGCAGCCTCCTAGCCTCTACCCACTGGATGCCAACAGCACCCACCTCCAGTTATGACAACCAAAAATGTCTCCAGAGATTGCCAAATGTCATTGGGGCACAAAAACTGTCATTATAGAATGTTAAATTTGTCATGTTTTGCCTCCCTACAGACATTAATTAAAGCATGCATATAATTTCTGGGGGGAGGGGCGGTTTCCTGTCATCTTATACCCTTTAATTCTTCCTTTTCTTGCGAAAGGATGTGAAAATGTCCATTATGTCTCAGTGATTTTTCTCTTTTCTTCCTCTCTCCTCTAAATTCAAAGTAATTGAAAGAAATAGCACAGTTGTCAAAGTAAATGCAACTTCGGGCTCCTTGTCTGCCTCCACTGGCAGGATTCTCTGGGAGTTTGTGGAATTCTCTGGGCTCCCTTGACGCCTGCAGGCAGCCTCACGGGGCCTCACCTGGGTGTGCAGGGACTCACCTTTCCTCAAGCCTTTCTGCCACTCTCACCTGTTCAGGTCCACTTTCAATAACTGAAGTGCAACAGCACCTCTGGAATGCACACTGCTTGCTACTCACACAGTCACTTTCTATTCTGAACTGGGCCTGGCTTTGGAGGGTTGGGTGCTCAGTTTTTAGTTCTCAGAACCTTGCGAACCCCAGTTGCACACACACCCAGCTAAAAGCCTCCTGCCCAAGTGTATCTGAATATGCTTCCTTTAAATGGTTTTCCTCACAGCCTGTGTCAACATGCCTGGCTGCTCTTTGCTCCCCTTCTGGTCTCAGTTCTCCTTTCACCTGCTGAGAGCCTGACTTTATATAAATGCATGTTCGTCACAGAACACTGTTGCCATGACATTGTGGATTTCTTAAAGTATTCCTTCCTCTTGCTCTCGGTCATCAATGTTTCTTTTACATCTGTTACCACAACTCCCAAAAGTCCCTCATGTTGTAGAAAAAATATTAAATTCTCATGAAAATGAAAACTTATTTATTTTGTTTGAAGCTCACTGGTTAGTCCTCGGGTGTTACTTTCATAAGGTTATTGAAGGTGATGTGTGCATTTGGTTTGAATGTAGACTTTTCATAATTGTCCTTGGAAAAATTTCATGAGTTATAAGATCATCAATTTATCTTGCATTTCTAGCTGCTATGCTTCTTTTCTTTTATCCTGCCCCTGCAAAAGAAAATCAATTCCTAGATTTCTTTATTTGAAAAAGATGAATGTTTCTTTTGCTTTATTAGAAGTGGTTCCTTTCACTGCTTCTCTCCCAAGCCAGGGGTGACATGTATCCTATAGTCAATATGTTTGTCTGTCAGGTGCAAAACCTTCCTAGCATGTAGACACTTTTTGCAATGGTACCAATTCCATTGGAATTTGGGGACCATTGGAGGGAAGTCCCCAGCCTTAGGCTGCATGATTGAAATGCTCAGCGAATTACCAGCATCCCCTCTGTGTTCCCTTTGTGGTTTGCCAGCAAGCTTTCCTTTCACTTGCTTTCCCACACTTGCCCATAACAACCCCCACCCTGACACACTGCAAGGCCAGGAATAGGCCATGTCCTTACCAAATCAGAAGCAGATGGGCCATCCTCCTCTCCTACTCAGGGAGGACAGATTCACTTTCAGGTTGAGTAGTTTATCCTGAATTTTGCTTGTGGTCTTAATGGTTTGTGTTCCTGAGTAATAGTTTCAAAGCTGCCTTAATGAGAGTGTGTATGTGGAAGCAATAAAAGGGGAAATAAACATATGTTATTTCTGTTTTCTATAGTTAAAATGTTACCTTATTGACCCATAAGTCAAAATTTGAGATTTCTGAAACCTCACTTGTGATTGATTACAACTCATACAGACACATCATTAAAAATACCACTTTTCTGAAATCCAAACTGTACAATTAAATTTAGAAAGTGATATGTAAAATATTTACTGTAACACTAAATAGCCAGTTTTTCATATTACACAAAAAATTCGACATGGTTTACAATCAGCTGTTTAGGAAAGCATCTATGGTATAAAGATAAACGTGATGATGATGAGCTCAAAATATAGTTCAACACAGGGAGTGTGTAAGTGGGAGTTTTCTATCAGAATGAGTAATTCCAAGAGAAATTGTGCATCTTCTTTTCCTGCCATTTTTAAACCTAGAAAACTTTCTGGGTGTGATGTAATCCCAGCTCTCAGAAGGTCAAGGCAGGAGGATTGCAAATTCAAGGCCAGTTTATCTTAAACAAACAAAAAAAAGAAGGAAACTCTACATTGGTTAAAAACAACCAGCACACAGGGAGGTCACCTGGAGTTCCCAGGCATCCTTTGTCTCTACAGATTACTGAGCCAGAAATCTAATCATTACTGTAAAAGAATAGATATACACTATAAATACTTGAAGCCAGAATGTGTTCAAACTTTTCTCTGAACATTTGCATCTCTCAATTAAGCACTGAAATAAAAAGAATAAATATTTACTGGGGTCTTTTTTGGTATTGCTTCTGATGAAAATTACACAAATGTGTCAGAACAACCTCTAGTGATTTTGAACACATAGCTCTTAGGGACTCTGTACAGTGAATGGCTTCTACAGCTGTAATCCAGGAACAAAATGTGCTTTTGAGATTAAAGGCTTAAAAGTATCTACTTTGGGACACTGAGATCAGGAGGATCATGGCTCAAGGCCAGCCTGGGCAAAAAATTCACAAGACTCCATCTCAACCAATAGCTGGGCACCTGTCAGCTGTGATGGAAAGCCTAAAATAGGAGGATCACAGTCCAGGCTGGACTTGGCAAAAAGTGAGACTCTGTCTCAGAAATAACCAGAGTGAGCTGGTGGAGTGGCTGAGTACCTTCCTAGCAAATGTGAGGTCCTGAATTCAAACCCCTGTACCACCAAAAAATATAAATAAACGATAAGAGGGAAAAGGGCTGGAGGTGAGGCTCAAGCAGTAGAGCACCTGCCGAGAATGTGTTCAAACTCCTGGATCACCAAAAAATAAACAAATAAACTTCTTTTTGAGCACCAGAGAAATTACCATGTGGAGAAAAACATTGAGACTTGAAGCAGTTTCTAACAAAGTGGCATGTTAAAATTAATGGTTGGTTTTATTCAGCTGTTTCTGATTGGTTGTTATCTGGGAGGAAAATGCAAATATCATGGAAGTAGAAATAGATATTAGCTCTAAAGTGCTTCTGATCTTTTGGGGAAAACAACACATTTTTTTTCATTTTTATCTTTTTAATTATAATGTATATAATACAGAATATAGTCACGATCATTTGTCTTGCTGACATGATTACATGGAGGAAAGAAATGACCATTAAGAAATGCTTACTTTTAAGATATTTACTTAGATATTGGATAAAACTGGTATATCTTACTTAACTATATACTTCAATTTTTTCATCAATAAGTAAATTAGCATATTTTATTGTTGTGATCATTAAAATAATCCGTATAAAGCATATAAGCAAAGTGCCTGGCACACATAGGTACTTAAGTGATAGCTCCTAATAATTGTGACCTTATTTGCTTTAATAATAGTGCCTATGAATTAGGTAGTATTTCCTGTTCTACAAATGAAGAAATTAACATGTAAAGAGGGTAAGTAATTTGCCCAAGATTGTCCAGCTAAATAAGAGATGGAGCCAGGACTAAAGCCAAGGAGTCTAAATCCACATAACAGTCTTTTAACTACAGTGTTATTATGCTGCTTTATCATTCGTTCATTTCTTTCACAAAAATTAATTGAACATATCTACATGGCAGGTGCTGTTATTATATTGGAAATTGAGAAAAATACACAAAATGTGATGGTGATGTCATACAATGGCATTATTAGCTTTTCATTTTGACAAAGTCTGATCCAAATATGTAAGCATATTTATAAGTAATATCTGCAGTAATATCTGGAATCAATGAATATTGCCTCTCCTAGTAAAAAGATCCAGATAATATCAAATAAATAATGTGTTTATAAAACCTTGGATTTTTACACTATTATTCATGCTATGATAATTCTTAAGAACATTTCTTACCCATTTTTTTCCTTACACTCATTTTAAAGTTTTTTTTAAGTTACCAACAAAATAATCACTAACTGTAGATGGACCCTTGTATTCTGACTACTGTAGACAAGCCTAAGCCATTTGCTTCTTCATTCTATAATTGTGAAATGCTGTGTTTTGAACAGAAGATCCATGGTTGAATTTAAACAAAAAAATGGTTGGTTGACTTCATATGCTGTGGGATCCTTTCAATATACTTTACTTGCCTCTGAAAGTCTCTGCCATTCTCAACTTTCAGTACAAATAGAGCTACCTGTAAATTGAATGTTGTGGGTATCGTTATTTATTTTAAAAACCTGAAGAGGTTTTCTTGGTGCCTGTTGTCAATCAAGCTATGACATGTTGATCATTTAGTGTCCCTAATAGAGTCACATGAACACTTTTCTATTTTGTGATGTTTTCCATTCAAAGTCAACCATATGGTTGTATATGTGGTGAGTTAGATTTAGTAAGGAGATTATATAGTGTCTTCTTGAATGTTTTGTCTAATAGAAGAAATATAATGGGGTCTGTGCTACTTCTAGCTGAAGCGAGACAGGTGAGGATGTTTTTCGTTTCTATTAAATAATTCAATTGCTGACAGTTCTTTGTTTGGTGCAGAGCATAAAAAATGGGTTTAAAAATACTGTATGGAAGAAAGCAAACTATTAGTAGGATCTGGATTACCAAAAGATGTCTTTTCACGGATCTGTAAGTCAAGTCTTTCTCTGTAATGGACGTACAGGTCCTTACTTTTCTCAGATGGCTGACAAAAGAGTAGTATGATGTTAGTACTACTAAAAATGAAAATCCAATAAATGTGGTTCCAATGAGACCTGCAATCTGAGAGGGTGCAGCTCCGAGTTCCATCTTCTGATTGTAGCACAGGTTCTCTCCTGTAGCCTCTACGACTGAGTAGTATAGGATAATGGGAAAAATTATGCCCAGTACAACCGCCCATATATAAATGCACAGTTTTCTAGCAAAGTTGGGCTGTCGAAACTTTTTCAATAAATGGCCATAAAATATTTTCTCATAGCAGGAAGTGGTCTCTTGCATGGAATCCTTTTTCATTAACGTAGCATAGCGACTTATGGCAATCCAGCTTAAAATTAAGAGGCTGACAAACATACTTACATGCATGGATAGAGTTCCCAAAAAGTTGACCACTATGCACTGTGGAGATTTATACTTCCATTGGAAACCTTTCAGGAAATAGATGCCCATGAAAGGCATGGTGCTGCACACAAGTAAATTTGCAGTCACAAGATGTACCAGGTAGATGTGCGTTGATGTTTTCTTACCTATTTTTGTTAAAAATACCCACTGAGAGAATGAGTTTCCAAAGAGACCAACAATACAAAGGAAAATGTAAATGATTGGTAAAGCCATGGAAGAGATCTCTGATGGTTGAATGCATGTCAAGTTGTTATTCATTTGTGATAGATTTTCTTGAATTTTGTCAGGGGATCTAGAACACAATTGCAGATACTTAATATTAAAATTATGGATGGTATTTAAGCTAAGTATTTTAAAAAGCATTAAATGAAATAAAATTATAACAAAATATATTGGATGGAAAGAGAAAGTGTAGATAGCTTCTTACCTTTTCTAATCACAAATGTCCAGTTGAAATAAAAGCAAGAAAGTACTTATTATGATGGGTAATGCCTTTGTCTAAAAAACAAAATTTGATGTAAACAGTTAGATGCCTGGGGTTTATCATTTTTTATGTTAAAGAAATTTACGGTCCTTAGATTGTAAATGAACGTGTGACAATAGATTTTGCCTGGAAATGTAATTTTTAAAAAATTAAGGCACTTGTAAACAACATATGCTGGTCAAATAGAAAGTGTGACAAAAATATTTTGTGACCACCTTAATAGAAAGATAATACTGATTTTTAACTAAAGCATTAATTATAAGTAAATATTTTCAAACTGGTGACTTTTAACTGGTAGGTTAAAACATTTCTCTGTAATACTATTAGAAGAGTACTTTTACATAGTTCAGAAATAAACCCAATTCCACATGAACAAAAACTGAGACAAGATCCTGAACTGAACAGAACAAAAGCATAGCAAAATCCCAGGGTCATTACCAAAGGCATCAGTAATTTCTGATTTCAAATAGTTAGTGCTAAACTCTCACACTTCAATTAAAAAGTTTAAATTGAGTGTCAAAACTGTAGCTGTTAGGCTTGTTGGCTAGCATGTCCTCGTGTGTAATTTAGTACCTAGTTTTGGGGAGATCTGTGTGTTTGTTTGTTTAGGGAATGTGATGTTTTCATCACAGCATAAATGCAGGTGTTGGTTTTGCTTTTTTATGTTTTATTTTTAAGTCTTCTTTACTGCAGAAGTATACATGAAATGATGAAGAATCACATACAAACTCCTTTTTGTTCATATTTTTCTCCTTATTTCCTTACATTTTTTTCAAGGGAAAATAACAAAGTTTCTAGTCAAATAAGAATCACAGTTTCCATTCTGAATGTACCACATTTGTCTGCATTCATCCCTTTCCAAGCACCACATTCTCCACTCTTTTATGATCTACAGCAGGATTTCTCAATCTTTTTTAATTACATTCTCTCTTTTGATAAGCATGCAAATTTTACTGTACAAAGTCTTCCAATCCCAAATCAAGATTATTTTCTGCATCTTGGATCACTTTAAATTATAGTCAACTTTTATAGAAATAAGGATTTTTTTTCCAAATATATAACTTTGAAATAATTTTTAAACCAAACAATATACACTCAAAGACTTAAAAAAAACTTAGGGGCCATGCAGTGTCTCTAGGTTCAAATCCTGAGGCTCTTGATCATTTCATTTATTTATTTGTAATTTTTATTTAGAAGATGGTCCTCCTGATTTAAAAATCAGCCAAATAGTGATCTGAGCCAGCTTATTTCTTAAGAAAAATTCATCTGCTCAAAGTAGATTTTGAGTTTGCATAAGGAACGGATCTTCTCTTCGTGATGATATTAAAGAAAAGCAGTAGTCCATGCCTTATCTGAATAATGGTTAATATACTAAAAACAGCAGAGATAATGGGGCTTCTGTGTATCCATAACAAACACTACTGAACAAAAGGGTGATAAAGGACTTCTACAGAAGCCAGCTTTATGAGACAGATGATGTTGAGTGTCTGCAGAAATCTCAAGGTAACAAACCACAACTAGTTCACCATCTTCAGCTTCTCAAATTTGTGTCTGTTGTATACATCTCCTTTAATAATAAATGTAGAGTCTAAAGCTACTAGAAAATTATCTTCTAAAATTTGGAAAATGCCATTAAATTTAAGAAATCAAAAGAACATGTTACAGCTACAGAATTGCTTTCCAGAAAATATCTCGAAGTCTGCATTCCCCTCAGCAGAAGGTCTGTGTTGAGGAGTCACTCATGTACACATTGTGACTCTAGTAACTTGACAAATGGAAAATGTGCTACAGGTCTAACAGCTACTCACTATCTGCATAGCTCATATACTGACCATCTTTCTTAATGGTTAGTTTCTAACACTTAAACAGATTAGTCCTTTTAGAATTTTTACAGAGTTAACTTTTAAGCTAGAAGTGTATAAGTGATCACCCTTACCTGGATGAGCAGTTTACCACCTAAGGTTCTAATGTTCAGGGTAGGGCTGCTGCAAACTTCAGACTGACAATTCTCTGCTCTTCACTCTTCCAGTGTCCTTGGTGTGAATAGACTCTTGCGTGATACCATCTACAGTGGGGGAAAAGGAAATTAAGCAGAGTATTGGAAAAATTCAATAGTTATGGCAAGTGTAGCAACTACCTCTTCAAAAAACCCTCATTTCTCTATTTCTCTAGTGGGAGGAAGTTACTAGACAATATATATATATATGTATATATTGTACTTCCTTATGATTATTTCCTGAACTAGTTACACCTCAGTTCGCTTTATTAGCATGATTGGCTGAAGTTCAAAGGTTCAGTCCTCCATTGCTAGTTAGTTTCATAGGGCTTGGGACACAGTAATAGAGGGAACCACGCAGAATAACACAATAAAATACTGGTACAAATTTGTCTGTAAACTTATCTGTAAAATCATTTGTGGCTGGCTTATTTACAACCCATCTTCATCAAGGATACATACAGGAAAATAAAACTCAAGTTTTCTCACTTAAGCAGCTTTCTAGAATCAAACACCACAGAACTGGATTACAATTTCACAGGTCCTTTGTGAGCTGAGACTCTTTATTTTAAGGTTGAAGAAACTGAGGCCCAGAGAAGTTCACTATAAACAGAAACTGCACTTTGGTTACTAATAAACTAACTCACTCTACTTGGGATTGCCCTGGGCTGCTCTGTTCGGGACAGTGGAGTACATTGTTTGAAGCACTTCATAATGGATTCAGGAGATCCTGGGAAGTGGCAAATACGCCTCAGATCCAATTAATATTTGCATTAGAAAGAATTGTGAGACCTATTTTATGTATAAGATTGTTTAGTCGGTCTGTGAACTACTAACTAAATAAAAGCTATAGCTGGGAAGCCAGACTTGCCTCAAGCAGTACCCTTCCTTGGGTAAACCAGTGGGGGGGTCTGATGAAGAGAACAAAAATCTAATTTCGTCATGCCTGAATATTTTGGTTAGCAGTAAATCTTCATTTAAAATTAATAAAAGTACTTTGTCATTTCCCATAACCCCAGCACTTACCTTATTTCATGTCAATTGCATAAATTCTCTCTGATGTTTGCTAACATTTCTCTCCAAAACAGAAGTGAGAACTCCCTGAAGTACTTGGATCTTGTTCTGCTGCTGTGCGTCTTTGCAATGCTTGCCATAATTTAATTAAGAACGGTGACTCATCCAAGGTTACATAGCCATTGATAGCAGAGTAATTTGGCTTCTAGTATTTCTTTTATTTTTACTTTAGCTATGTCTAAAGTAAAAGGAAGGAATTACTTAGAACAGTTTGGTGCTGAGGGTGTAAGTTTCCCGAGGTCACATAGCCATCTATCCTCACAGCTCCCCTCAGAGATAGTAATTCAAGAGAACAAGTCCATGCCTGCCATGCCTGCCATGCCTTTTTTTGATCTAGCCTCTGAAGTCAACACTGTCACTTCTGCAGTATTCTGTTTGTCACTCAGAGCCAGCCCCAATTCAGTGTGGAGGGACAAATATCTGGTGACCCCTGGGAGCCAACTTGGAAATGGGCTACCACAGATGTTAAGCAATAATTAAACCAAAGAGTCAAAGCCATTGCCAATCCTTTATTGGGCAAGAGTGCCTATGGAAGTATAAGTCTTGTCAAATTGGACCCAAGTCCGTCTGCTCACCACTGGAAAGCCAAAACTCAGGAAGAAGAGTTGGTGAGAAGGAAACCAAGGTTTATTTTGAAGCCAAAGGCTTTAAGGCTCCATCTTGGGGAATTCAGGTACAAGAAAGGGATTTTATAAGCCATTTTCCCTACCCTCTCTGGCCAGAACTTCCCAATAGACCTTGACCTCTTGGGGCTACTTACAAACACTACTTATAAAAACATAAAGTTCAACATGTAAATAGCAGTTTGCATGATTTGTGTTAGTTGATGCACAGATTAAAAGAACAAAGGGGGCTGCATGCACGTTTTCATGTTATCTAAAGATGATCTGTAAGCCTAGAGAAAGATTTATTTAGCAGTTAATAGCTTCATCATTTAAGTGTAACACTTCTTTAGAATTTAGAATGTCAGACAAAGGGAGGGAAAGCAAAAGTTACTCTTCAAAAGACAACTCCCAAGAGTGGCCACTGTTTGGATTTTTAGTGGTCTATATTTTTCATCAATAATGCAATTCACTCAACAAATATTTCTCAGTGTTTCTAGTAGCATGTGGAGGGCATAGAAGTAGTGTATGAACCTCGAACTAATTTAGGGTCTTTGGAAATTCAAGAGATTCCATAAGCAAGCCAAAATTTAGATTAGGATGTGACATGTGGTACACATTGAACCAAAGTGGTTCTAAAAGGCTTTGTGAAAGCAGCTGAAAGGTGGCGATGGAAGTCGAGGCTCCAAGGTTACGGAGTGGGTAGAAGGTGACACTACTAGTAAATACACTTTCTGCCTTGCAAGTCAACAAGGATATCTGGTAAGTAAACTGGGGTCCAGTCCAGTTTAAGAAATGAGGAAATGTTTTGCCACTGGTAGAAAAGAAGTCAGACAATATGATACTAACAAAAATATTGTCAGGGAGAACTTTCAAAAATAATAAAGTATGTTGCAAGTTCTCTGTAAAAAGTGGCCCCTTTGGGCTTCTATTCAGGTCACCAGGAGTTTTCTTTCATTCTCATTCATCTTTCCCATCCTCCTCTTCAAAGTTCCACTTTCGTCCAACTCCAAATGCTGTTACCCAATAGCTCTAAGTACTAATCACTTGCCAAATACTCACCGCCTACACCTTGTGCTCTGACCCTTAGGCTCTACCTCCTTGAAGTGTTAGTTTCTTACAATTCAAGTCCTGTCTTGTGGTAGATTTCCTTGATACTTGTGTGGGTATCAGGTGCATTTTTTAATCTACGGGATCCCTGTAGAGTGCTTTAGAGAGAGTGGTCTAAAGGGCAGACGTATGGTTTTTAATTTGGCAACCCACGGTAGCCTGTATATTGCAGGAGTCCATGAGAGCTTTCCTGACTCCTAAATTCTTGGAGTTAGAATAAGGACCCTTCATTTTCCCTCAGGGCCAGAAGCCAGAAGATGCAAGACAGTTTTGTCACACCTGAACCTTTGTGTTTCAACTAAAGTTATTTTAGGCTATCCAGGCTAGTGTCTAAACTGGCTGCAACTGGTCTTTTAAATGCTCCATCTGACCAATCAGGAGCTCAGGGCATTGGAAGGCTGGTGTGCAGGAAGAGAAGACATGCCTAATTTTGTCCACATTAGAACATTAACATTCTAAAGATAATGATTTCTCTCAAAGGGGGGCAGTGGTAAGCCTTGTTCAGTTCCGTGCACCCCAAAGCTAGTGGTTACCTTTAGGAGTGAGGCTCAGCCCTGTTACTCAAAGCTGTGGTTTGTTCAAGGTTCACTGAGCCCCCTGCTCTCTTCAGGATGTGGTGTCTGGCCACAGCCTTGTTTCCAGCTGCACTGCTCTCAGGCCTCGCCTCCTACTACAAGAAGCTATAACCATGGACAACCCACCCTTCATCGGCATGTCAAAAGAACCTCAACTTGTTCATAAGAGCTAATTTCCCAGCAAGCAGTGGGAGCATTTGCCTCAAGAACTACTGTAAACGGCAGAGAATATAATCCAAAGTTTGGACATTTCTAATCACACAAAGTTCTCAGGATTGTAAGAAAAGCATAATGACAAAGCATAAATGGACCTGAGAATTCCAGTTTCACTCCTTCATCTTTGGCTTGTGTCTTTTCATATGGGCTGGAGTGTGCTGGCTAGACATCATCGTATAGGGATGCACTAAACAGAAACACTATAACAGCCACAGTGGCAGTCACAAGAATTAGGATCGCCTCCGAGGTGGCATCTGGGAAGCAGATGAGAAAATTGGCAAATTCAGGGGAGGAGAGAAACTTTAGTGACAGATTAGACAAAGCAAAAATATGTAAGGACAGTCAAACTTTGAATTTCAGCATCTTTGAATTGACCAAATTTGGTTCAAATCATGATTCAAAACCAACCACTATTTTCTATGGGTTCTTTGAAAAGCCAAAAGTAAAGATACCTGAAAATGAAGCGTTTGATAGGATTTTAAAAATATTTTGGTTCATTGTATTGTCACAGGTACAAAACACACATACATGTATGTACACATCTTTACCCTGGGAAACAATCACTGGGATTGACCTTAATGAGATTAAGGTCATTAAAAAAGGTACCATATCTCAGTTCCCAGGATTCTCACCATTCCTCTGTCTCTTCCAGGATCAAGGTTTCCTGGCCATTTTACTACCAATCACTTCTTTTGCATTTCTAGATAAAATTGTCTTAAGATTAAGTTCTTGCTCTATGCTATTTCCTGCCTTTATTCGAGGGAGGAAAAGAAAGAGGGGGAAGAATTGGGTATCTGAAGTCTTCCTTCTTACACCTGTTAGTGTCTGTATTCAATTTCTCATTTTCAAATATTGAAGTTACAAGTTTTCTTGAGAACCACGTTTAGAAAAGTGAATAATAAAAGTAAATGACAGCCACCAGGCTGCATATATAGCCACAGATATAAATTCATAGAATTTTTAAGATATCTGAGGTAGATGTTATTATTACTTTCATTTTCTAGATGAACGATACAAGCCCATAGAGGATAAATAACTTGCTTATGGTGATGCAGCTGGTATATAGTAAGGCCTCTATTTGATCCCAAGCAGTCTGACTTCAGAGCCCACAATCTTAGCTGCTATTTATACTGATTTTTTTTATGTGGTACTGGAGTTTGAACTTGGGACTTTGTGCTTGCAAAGCAGGCATTCTACCACTTGAGCCACACCTCCAGTCCATTTTGCTCTGGTTATTTTGGAGATGGAGTCTCACAAACTGTTAGCCCAGGTTGACTTTGAACCGTGATCCTCCTGATCTCAGCCTCCCAAGTAGCTAGGATTACAGGCGTGAGCCACCAGCGCCCAATTATACTGACTCTTATACTGTATGATAGCACTCAGAGTCTGGTTTATTGCTTTGAATTAGGTGACCAAGTGTCTGCAATGACCAAAAACGTATTTCACTTATATTCCTGTTTACAGATTTCAGTCTGGAAATTTACTAACTTCCAC